TAAAATAGCTATGTGAGGTATTAATGTAGAATAATACCAATGAATAATAAATGATAATTTAAAATAGCAATGTGCAGTATTAATGTAGAATACCAATAACAAATGATAATTTAAAATAACAATGTGCGGCATTAATGTAGAATAATATCAATGAATAACAAATAATAGCCTAAAATAGCAAAGTGCTGTATTAATGTAGAATAATATAAATGACTAACAAATAACCTAAAATAGCAATGTGCAGTATTAATGTAGAATAATACCAATGAATAACAAATGATATTTTAAAATATCAACACATAATAAATACCAGAGCAGGGCATCAGTGCATAATATGGATTGAACAACAAACAATGAAAATTAAAAATACCAACATGCAATACACCGCAGAATATCATCACTGCACTGTCCTATCGAGGGATAACAAATAAGGATCGTAATACTTAAAAATAATACTTGAGAAGATCAACGCAGAATAAATCCCAACGCGGAACGACCTCAGCGCATGAGAAATACCGACCAAAACGCGGAAGGGGGGGGGGGGGTCGTTATTAAAAATAGGGCCCATCATCCCCGGGCCCGCGCTGACCTTGGATCCGGCGCATTTGTCGAGGAAGGCGCGCAGCTCCCTCCGCCCGGCTTCCCTCAGCGCCGTCAGCGGGACGCGGCCCGAGCTGAGGTGAGCCGCCATGGCCGCCGAGGCGCTGCGCAGGCCGCGCCCACGCCGGTCACGTGAGGCGTCGAGGGGCGGGGCCTCGGGCTAGCCACGCCCCTCCGGTTCAAGGCCCTCCTGCCTCTTACCTGGCCGCGCAGGTGAGGCTCTCGGGGGAGGAGGATGCTTTAGGGGAGGCGCCCCGGAGGTTTTTTGGGGGGAGGGGGTCCTGCCGTGGGGGGCAGGAGGCAAAGGAAATGCCCCCCCCCCCCCCCCACGACCCGGCCCTTTCCTGCATTGCCACACTTTAGTTTTGCAACTTGTTTTTTTTAAGAGTGGGGAGGGGGGACTTCAACTCCCAGAATCCCCCAGCCAGCTTGGCTTTGATTTTTTTTTCTCTCTGCCAGCAAGTGAGCTTGGTCAAGTGCAGGTGTGTGTGTGTGTCCAACTTTGGCCACTTGGAAGACTTTGTGGACTTTTAACTCCCAGAATTCTCCAGCTGGGAAAAGAATTCTGGGAGTTGAAGCCCACAAGTCTTCAAAGTGGCCAAAGTTGGACACCACTAGTATAAATAAGGGGTTAAAGGCAGGAGGGTGACGATTGCGTTTTGGCCTGTAAGAAGGCGTGCGTCCCATCCCTGGATCTTTCAAAACTTCCTTAGATGTTGAATTATCCTGTTGCAATTCTGTGGTCCCATATTACTGTGATTTTGTCATAGTTTCAGTTTAATATTTTATCTTGTATATTATATTGCCCATGTATCTCTTTGTCTATCTATCTAATCCTTTATATCTCTCATCTTTTATGTCTATCATCTAAATCAATATGTCTATCTCTGCCTATCATTCATCTACCCATCCTTTGACATCCTTATGTCCGTCCATCACTTATCTTTTATATCTGTCTTATTTTATATCTATCATCTCTCATCTTTATATCTGTATTCTATCTCTCATCTCTTTTATGTCTATCATCTCTATATATCAATCAATCTGTCTATCTCTATCTGCCTATCATCCATCTATCCATCCTATATGGACATCCTTATGTCCGTCTGTCCACCCGCCATCTATCTCATCTATCTTTTATATCTGTCTTCTTTTATATCTTATCATCTCTCATTTTTATATCTTTCTATTTCTACCATCTCTCATCTATCGTTATCTATCTATCCATCCATCCATCCATCCATCCATCCATCCATCCATCCATCCATCCATATATTTCTAGCTATCCACCTCTCCCATCCATCCAATCTCTCTCTCTGATCTGCTGTTTTACTTAAACTTATATTTATGTTTCTATGTATAATTTGTTTCATTAGTTGTATATCAACGATTGCATGACCTCTGTAGATGCCGCATGCGAAATAAATAAATAAATTTAACAGCTTAACACTTTCAAAGTTGATATGTCTTTAAACAACTCATTCCGGCAAATCATCATCAGGCTGGCCAACATAAGCCAGCATTGTTGTTCAAGCAGCATCTGCTGCCCAGGATACCAAGCGCCAAACACTCACAAATAGTTGGGAAAAAGAGGCGGCAAGACTGAATTGTAGAGAACACTCCCTTTATTAAAGATACAGTACAGTTGGTTTAATTTAATACTGACTTCCCTGCTTTTTTAAATGACTATACCCTATAATACATTCTTTACTCCAAAGTTCAAACAGTTACACTGATTTATTTTTTCAAAAAAAAAATCCTCGTAGGCCAAATACTGATTGTAATTTGGGAATAGTTAACAACTAGCACAGATTATGTGCTTCTCCATAGGTCTGTGTGTGCATGTAAAAAGAAACACAGGTAAACCCAAACAGTTATAGAAGAATTAAAATCTTCCATTACGCAAGGAAGGCTGATAGTGTTTTCTTTACATTTCTTTTTGTAACATTCAAAAGAAGAGAGTGTGGCATCATCTTTGTCTCTCTTAGAGTACAAGGCATTTACTCCATGACGGAGTAACTCCACAGGAACGCCCCAAGCATTAAATTAGCATGAAAACAGTTTCACTCAGAAATATGCTCCATTTTAGACTTCTTAAAATGTTCTTGTAAGGTACCAGCTTCTTAGAAACTTCTCCTTATTTCAACATGGAGTTTTTTTCTATTTTACATTCACCTGGAACAAAATTGCAACCCAGGGGAAAATAAATAAATTACATCTTAATTGGTTTTAAAAAAGGGTCTTGATTTCAGGACAGACATTTGATAAAAATCTGTTAACGGGATATAAACTGTAGCCAGATGATTTGTGTGTGGGGGTGTCCTTTTTTGGTACATGCAAACTTGCCCCTTTATCCACCCCGCTCAAACCCACCCCAGCCAGAAAAAAAAAATCTCCCAAGTTTTTTGAGGCTGTTTAAGTCATTAAATCAATTTACAGTACACAAAAGCCCTCTTTTTCAGAATAACAGAAGCACTAAAGACAATCAAATTGCTTTCCAAAATATAAATCTTTGTTTTTCTTAAATATATTTATATATGTACTTATGTACAACTCTACAGAAGCTGAAAAAACAGGGAGAGATTTCCCAAACGCCCAGCTGGAGAGGTTTCGTAAGGGGAAAAAAAATAATATTTCCCCATAGTGGCTGACCCTACTTTGTGGTATTTTTTTTGTTTTGCCTCGACAAAATCTCACACCATTAAAAGAAATCCCGCGGATAGGAAGGCACTACTTCTAGGTCTTGCACCAGTAGCACACGCACAAAAGTTTGCTCACGCGTGTCGGTTGATCGAGAGATCACAAAGCCGAGGAAAAACACAAACAAACAAACGTTGGAAAAATAAGAAAATAATAAGAGCTCGCCTCTTAAACCCATTCCAGTGTGAGAAGGTTACAAACGCTAAAAGAAAGGTACAAACGCAGCTTGGAGGAGCGTAGTAGTGCAAATAGGAAAATGAAGAGCGTAATTTCAAAGAGCTTTAAATGAGCTAAAATAGAACTAGGGGGGGCTTGTTGGTTTCACACCCCAACTCCTCTCATTTCCTCCCCACCCCACTCCCCCAAATTAAGCCACGCGACCGGAGGGCAGTTTCTGGATGCAAACCCAGGAAATGAAATTTCTAAAGGAAAATTGGCAGCCCCTGTTCAATTATTTATTTTAATTCCATCGTAAGAAGGGCGGAATAAAAACTATCCTGCTTGTGGAAGACCAGATCCACACAGCGTCTTTTTAAAATTCTGGGTGGCTGCTGCAAGGGATTCTGGGAGGAAAGAGTGCCGGTCTCCTCTCCTCCTGGCCCCACCCTTGGAGGTGGGCGGTGGAGGATGAGGTCCAACTAGCGCCCAAAGCAACGTTCATTTCTCTCCGCTCCTGTCCTCTGTCAGAAGGTCTCATCATCGTTGCAGTTGGCGGTCCAGTGGCCAAACATCTCGCAAATGGTGCAGTAGGGACGTTCCTCCTTCCGACTGCCGTGGTACGTGGAGTGGGGAGGCTCCTCGGGCGCCTGGGCTTGCGTGGGGCAATCTTCGGTGTCGTGGAGGTCGAAACAATCGCAAATGTCGCAGAAGAGGCGAGGCTTCCTCTTGACTTGGTTGTCTTCCTCGCTGTCGAGACAGAAACGGTTTAGGAAAAGGTTGGGAAGACTTCACGGGGGATGATTCCTTGAGGAACGTTGTTGAAGGACAGGAGCTAGCAAGAAGTTGGGATTTTGGTTTTTCAATACTCCATGCCAATGTTCCTCAACCACTGGCCGCTTTTAAGAGGTCTGGACTTCAACTCCCAGAATTCCCCAGGGTATGGCTTCTCTAGAGAGCATACTCTATGGTTGCTGGAGCTCAGTGGGTTGGTTTATCCAACGCTTTAAGCCAATGTTCCTCAACCGTGGCCACTTTTAAGAGGTCTGGACTTCAACTCCCAAAATTTAAGAGGTCTGGACTTCGACTCCCAGACTTTCCCAGAATATGGCCTCTCTAGAGAGCACACTCTATGGTAGCTGGAGCTCTGCATCTTGGTTTATCCAACGCTTTAAGCCAATGTTCCTCAACCTTGGCCACTTTTAAGAGGTTTAGACTTCGACCCAGCTCTGCTGGCTGGGGAATTCTGGGAGTTGAAGTCCAGACCTCTTAAAAGTGGCCAAGGAGGAGGAACAATGCTTTATGCCATCTAGCTACGTCCACCATAAGCCACTCCAAGTAAAACAGCCACCCAAACGCCCCCCCCCCCCATTTTTCAGACCACCAACCTATCATAGTTAATAACTTCTTCCTCGTCTCCGTTGAGAGCCGCCTCGGACATCTTGTTCAGTTTTGATTTCAGTTCAGCGTTTTTACTTTGAAGATCCACAATGACCGAATTTAAGAAGTCAATCTGATGGGTTGAGGAAAAGAAGAACGAGAAGTGAATCTCACCCACACGAGGCCACCTGGATCTACCAAGCATTTTGGGCAGTTGGCCATTCTAAACAGGAGACATCAATTTTTCCCCAACAATATGGCTAAAACCTCTGTGATATCTGCTCTCAATTCATCTTTGCTTGAAACTAAAACCTCCCTAAATGCTCTAACTGGTTGGAAGTTATGGCTGACCTCCTAAAGGATTTGAAGTTCTGACAGTCACAACTACCCTCAAAAGTCACCTGATCGGTTTTGGGCAATGCATTCACATTTATGGCGGTTTGCAGTGCCCTGCAGTTTTTACGGTATTTGGGTTTGCTTAGTGATGCTGCCAAAAAGGTTGTAAAATCAAGCACGTGCGCATGGCCCAACAACCTGAACAAATTACAACCACAATTCCAGGCTCAATTACAGTTGTAAGTCAAAGATTGCCTGTTATCTTGGAAAGCAAAGCACAACAACAATTCATTTAGTGAATTTAACAACCAAAAATTTGGGCTCAATTTGCTGTCGTAATTCAAGGACTAGCTGTCAAAAAAATAAACCTGTCTTTTGATCTGTAAAATGGGACACCGCTAGGCTTGGAACCCCACTAGCTCCATCTCCTTGGAGGGGGAGAAAGAGAGCAGGGAGGAAACAGACCAAGGGAAAAAAACCCAGCAGACACCCAAATCCCAGGGGGGGGATAATTCAGCCCCCTCCCTTCTCCCCTTCCTCCCTTTTGTTACCCAAAAGAACAAGGGTTGCTTCTCTTGAGAGGCTGAGGGGAGGGGGAGAAGAACAGCACCCTTGCAGAGGGACCCCGAGGTTATTATAACTGAGAAAACTTATTGTTTATTTTTTAAAAATAAAAGAGAAGGAGCTGAAACGAACCATTTGCTGATGGCAGAAGATTATCCCCAGCCGCAGATCAAAGCAAGAGGCGAAAAGGGGAAGAAGGAAGTAAGGAAGCGGGGAAAAAACACACATAAAGAAACCAAATATTAGTACGTTAAGAACACGATAAAATTCAACCTCAAGCATTTGGGGAAGTGGGGAATACAGTCTTTTTTTTAAAAAATGGTGATGTCAGCTTTGGAAGCCATATTAGCACCAGAAGCTTCCACGCTGCCACATTCTTGTGCCTGGGAAGACGGGAGGGGGGAAATTGCATGGAGTGTATGTGGTTAGACATAATAGCATTTTTCTTTAGAGTCAAGGTCATGTTGTTGCTGCACCTGGCTGAGGAGAAGTTGGGATTTTACTTATTGGAGGGAAACCTGGGACTTTCAGATTCGGGATTTCCCAGATGTGCCAGTTTACTAGTCTAATAAAAGGGAACTTTTGAGATTCAGAAGATGCCTGGTTCAGAGTTATCTGTTGGGAGTCGAGTTTTTCTGGAACGCTGACAGATGGAATGATACAACCAAGAGGACGGAAGCCATACCTGGCTCTCCTGGGCGTCTTCCTTTTGGAAATCGCCACTCGATGAAACGTCTTGGACAAGAGGGAAGAAAGAAAAAAAAAACAGGTTAGAAAGACATGAAATGAACACTATCCTGATTTTTTACTCTGACCTTCATCAGGGACAGGTGGGATTCTGGACTCTTTGGGAGCGATCAGTTGACTTGGTCTCAGGAGGCCACATCTGGCTGTACTTTTCTCCACGTTTGGATCAAATCAGACACTTGGGAGTAAGGCAGAGGTTCCCAAACTTGGCAACTTTAAGAATTGTGGACTTCAACTCCCAGAATTCCCCAGGGTCTGGCCTCTCTCGAGAACAGACTCTATGGTTGCTGGAGTTCGGTGGGTTGGTTGAACCAATGCTTTAAGCCAGGGGTCTCCAACCTTGGTAACTTTAAGACTTGTGGATTTCCACTCCCAGAGTTCCCCAGGGTATGGCCTCTCTAGAGAACAGACTCTATGGTTGCTGGAGCTATGCTGGCTGAGGAATTCTGGGAGTTGAAGTCCACAAGTCTTAAAGTTGCCAAGGTTGGAAACACCTGCTTTCAGCCAATGTTTCTCAACCTTCAGCACTTTAAGAGGTGTGGACACAGAACCTTGAATTCTGGGAGTTGAAGTCCACCCCTCTTCAGGTGGTCAAGGTTGAAAAGCACTGATTGGTTGCACTTTTCCAAAATGCTTGCATTCGGTGATTGGAAGGTCACACCCGGGGACGTTGGTTGTGTCCACTTGAGGAAAATCCCCATTAAACTGGGCTGCCTGAGGAGACCCAAAGCGGCCAGGTAACCTACATTCCAGAGCTGGCTTTACCTGAAGAGCTTTTCTGGCTCTCTTTGAGCTTCTGCTCCAAATTCTTTACTTTGATCTCAAGTTTAACCTTATCGGATTCCAGGGACTGAACGACTGAGTGCAAATTCCTCGCCGTGGCATTCTCTCCACGGAGCACCGAGACCTGCAAAAGTCCAAAAAGAAAAGGGAAATGTGAATTGAATAACGTCATGGAAGGAAAGAAATAAAGGATACGCAGATAGTCCCTCACTTACAACCACAGTGGAACCTGAAATTTCTATTGCTAAGTGAACCCTAAGGAAGGAGAGAGGGAGAGAGAAGGAAGGAAGGAGGGAGGGAAAGAGGAAGGGAGGAAGCGGGGAAGGAAGGAGGGAAGGAAGGAGAATGAAGGGAGGGAGG